CACTGTTGGGCAAGTTACTTTAAAACTGTAATGTGTTATTTATTACTTATTACTGTCATTTCAAAGTGATTTGTTACATTATAATATTACTGTATTTAAAATGTAAGACATTACATTATTATTGCATTACTTTTAAGTTACTCTCACCAACATAACTGTGAAGATGTTGAACTTTTGTGCCGTATATGGACTGAACCAGGACTAAACCAGGACTAAACCAGGACTGAACCAGGACTGAACCAGGACTAAACCAGGACTGAACCAGGACTGAACCAGGACTAAACCAGGACTGGACTGAACCAGGACTGAACCAGGACTGAACAGGACTAAACCAGGACTGAACCAGGACTGAACCAGACTGACTAAACCAGGACTAAACCAGACTGACTGACTGACCAGGACCAGGACTAAACCAGGACTAAAACCAGGACTAAACCAGACTGAACCAGGACTGAACCAGGACTGACTAAACCAGGACTGAACCAGGACTAACCAGGACTAAACCAAACCAGGACTGAACCAGGACTGAACCAGGACTAAACCAGGACTAAACCAGGACTGAACAAGGACTAAACCAGGACTAAACCAGGACTAAACCAGGACTGAACCAGGACTAAACCAGGACTAAACCAGGACTGAACCAGGACTGAACCAGGACTAAACCAGGACTGAACAAGGACTAAACCAGAGCTGAATCAGAACTAAACCAGGACCAAACCAGGACTAATCTTGGATGAGAACTTGGAATCTAAGACTGCCCCTGAGAGAACCCTGAGCCCGTGGAGCAGGGTGTCTGGAAGGCGCGACTGGGCGTCAGCTGCGGTTCGCCCCATGAAGCGCGGAGTTCTATGCCGGTCCTTTCGCCCACGGTTCCCTGACGGTCTACGTGGGCGCGTCTCCGGTGTTTGACCACTGCTGATATCGCGTGATTTTAGCGAATTTGTATGAAGAAAAAACAACCACTTCAATTCAGATTAAAAAAGCATTGTGACGCGCGCTACTGACATTTGTTCCGAGTAAAATATTACAATATTTTTCTCTGTAATGCCTTACATTACTGCAAAAAGCAACACATTACAGTAATTTGTTACTTTTATTACACGTTACTCACAACATTGTTATGCATTCAGAGCATCCTAATTATTCACAGTGATGAGTTTATAAGCGTTTTTTTCTCAACTTTCAGAGGGGAGTCTGCTGTCATGGCAATGCATGACAACAACTGGCATATCAACTGTGCACTTCCTGATTTTTGGATGAGGAAATGCTTTATGATTATGCAGACTTATTTCGACCTCAACAGCTGCTTATACCATATATCTGAACTCGAGGAAGCCATTTTTTGTCTTTATGAAACTGACAAAAGCTCAGTTCGGTTCTTACCTTGTTAACCCATTTTTGCAACTCAAGGCTGTAACCCTCGTCTGTTTCATTTCATCTCAGGAAAACCATCAGAGGCAAGTTGTGGTATTTTCTTTATTTTTGCTTTTGTATAAGATCCAAATCACAACTATCTATCATTTGCTAAGTAAGATTTGTTTGCTTGAAACATACCAGAGAATAGACCTTTGTAAGAATTTGAGAAGACAGCTTCACAAAGTTCACTTCACTCAAGTAAATTAGTTTTTTTTTTTAAGAAAGGCAATACAATTCCAAGCAGGCTTCAAAAGTACAAAGAGTCATTTGATAAAAGGTTCATGTCCTTCATTTGAGATTTTCTTTATATTCTCTTCCTATTGATTGCTTCTTGACCGATCTTGTCAGTGCAATTCAATGTATTTTTAAAAGACAATTCACTCTTTTATAAATAATTACTTCCCTCTCTTTTTAAATAAATGTATATAAATGTAATAATAGCTACATGAGAGTTTTAGCATTTGCATATTTGTACTGGGGCAAGACAAAGTGAATTGGGGAAAAAAATCGGGTACAGAAGCTTTTAAAGAAGACATATTGTGATTGTGTTATAGTTATAATTGTGTTATAGTTATAAATGATGACACCCGTGGATCATTATGTTATAATTCGTACATTTTTAGTCGTATTCATCTAGATCTAGAATAGTGGGGCAGGTGCATGTGATCTCGGGGAACATGTTTTTTTTTTTTTTTCCATACTAGAATAAAGTGTAATTGCACATCCACTACAGTAGTTGGCAGTGACGCTCTCATTGTCTGAGTGCGTGCAGGAGTATTCAGCGCTATAGTGTTTTTTGTTGTTGTTGTTTTTTGTTTTTTTGCACCAAGCATACTCGCAGCACAGAGCAGGAGACATGAAGTGCAGTGAACAAACTTTATATAAAGCATATGAAACGAGGAAAGACCGCTGTGTTTACTGTGTCTAAAAACGTTGGCAGCAGACAGCATGAAGCCAAATAAATTACAGCGACAGTTTAAAGACAGTACACCCCAATCAAGCTGATAAGCCGCTTGAATTTTGCAGAATATTGCCACAATCATCCTGCTTTGTGAGTGCTACTTCAGTAAACCAGCGAGCTCTGTTAGCATCACATAAGGTGGTCTACCAAATAGCAGAGGAGCGGATACTGCTGAACTATAACACAGACATCATCTTTAAAGACGAAGAGGACAAGGGAGCGGATGCCTCATGACTGCAGGTGAGCACAGCGCAGAATACGGGCGGACACATGCTGCGTGTGTCCAGGGAGTCGCTTTGGAGACGTGAATAAAACGTTTGCTCTTGTATGGAGGCTACTGAAGGTGAGGGTGAGATTTGTCCATGTTTGGTAGTGGTTCTGTGGAGTGGGGGGGTGACAGAAAATAACTGAGAAGCACTGATCTAAAACTAAAATAACTTAAGAACCAACGCTGACTTCCGCATTAATAAACTGCAGTACCCAGTGAGATTTTTGTACCAAAATGAGAATGCATCCAAGTTTCTGAATTTAACACATATCAAGGATTAAGCAAATAAAATTTTTGAACAAAATACAGAACAGTGTGTGTACGGTGATGTTCTTGAAGATGGGGGTTAGTCGGTAAAAGGGCGTCTTGAAAAGAAACAATAAAAGATTGTGTAAAAATGCACTGCCTAACTTTTCAGGTTGGGGGTCCACTGCCATGGAGATGCTTTTGCTTTGTCTGTAATGTTCCACAATAGGGCATTAAACTCACAAAAGATCCATTTATTCGATTAAAGGTGTTTTTATTGCTCAAAAATACCTTTAAAAACATGAATTCTTACCTGGAATTTAGACCAGGAGCGTCAGCAGCATGTAAAATTGGCAGAGCTGCATGCATGCGTACTTTTAAAACTTTCAATTTACACCAGCAGAACTGTTTAAACACTAAACTTTTGACATTGTTTAATAATTATTGTTGATTTGTGATGTAAAACATAATTCATCCATACAAAAGTTGACAAGAGCTTTGAAGTGAAGTCTTATCTGCAGTGCTTGCATTAATGAAGCTACTCACCATTTCACTTTAGTTGTTTGCACCACACGCCTTTTCCTTCAGAAGTTCTTCATGTAAAGTTTCTTTCTGATGTCAAAGTGTTTTTATATTTATCCTTCATGGCTGTAAACTTTCCATAGTCCATCACAAGTCATTCCCCGAGCTCCTGATGCGACGCTCGTTGTTTACGCGACTGTAGTGGTTTTAGAGAACTATTTTGAAAGAGCACTGGAAATTTATTTTGACACCACATGCTCATTTCCTGTCTTTCCCATGATTAAAATGCTCTGCTGACACTGCAAAATTAGAACTCCAACCTAATTTGAGCGACGCATAGCATCATAATGGCTTTTGGATGCACGTATGGCACTGTTGGTGTAGACTGCCCGACTGGTTAAACACCTCTTCACAGATCTCACTTGTAAATTGACATTTCTTGCTTGTTTCTATGGACATTGAAATGTTTAATGCCATACTTAAAAATATCGGAGGTAAAGCAGTAACATCTCCATGGAGTAACTGGAGGGCGCTCTACCACAAACATTACACAGTGCACCTTCAAACATGAATGAATTAGAGATGCGCGGATTGCGGTTAATCCGCGGGTCGGGCGGATGACGTGACGAAAAATTATATTTTAATTAAATTCGGGCGGGTGGCGGTTTAACTACTAAAAAAAAAAAAAGTTATTGTTAGTATTGTTACCTACATCTGAAAAGACGAGTCTCATTGTCTATGCTTGTAGTATGAAGTGTACGTCATATCCTTAATTAGCCCATTTGACCTCGTTTTTATGTTCTGAAGGTTAAGGTTGTGTCGGGTTATTGATGCCTAAGGTTTACGAGGCACATATTATATGCCAGTTTATTTTATTATTTCTAATTTATTTCAGCTGTTTGCCAACACATAAGTGGCTATAGGGCCATATTTATTTAGTTATGCTTTTTTGTTCTTGTCTATTTCAATTGGAATATAAAGAAGGCATTGCCTGATTTCAATAAAGGTTCATCTGGATGAGATGATCTGTTTCGATATCAGTTATATTTTAAAACACGCAGACATTATAGCGTAGACTGCCACTCGGGGTATTTAAAACTTAAAGAAAGACCGATGGAGTGAGGCTATGACTTTGAAATAACATCGGGCAATGGCAGAATGTTCAGAATGTGACAACATCCAACACGAAGGCAAGAAGGTTCAAAAATAGCCTAGTCGGAAAACGTTGTCAATTAATTAGCTGCGCAAGAAAACCAGGTATGTTTGGGGTTGTTGCGGACAATTAAGAAGGCGAACATACACGCTGAGCGAATTTTGGAATGAATGAGCTATAGAGTTTGCATTTTTATCGAGGCTCCTTAGTTTGTTTGCTGTATGATTGTTCTAAAATCTAAAATCAATCGGCGGATGGCGGGCGGGTGCGGTTTTGAAAACCTTCGGTGCAAAATGGATAGCGGGCGGATGATGAGTTTTGTGTCGCGGTTGCGGATGAAAAAATAGCCCATCCGCGCATCTCTAGAATGAATCACTCCAAATACAACTTGTCATCCATAATCCCCGGCAATAGGTGGCGCTGTTGCCTGTTACCTGCACAGCCTTCTGCGTGTGAATGTCCACGATGAGCACTCGGTCCAGGGTGGGCTGGGTGGCATAGATGAACTTGTCCCTCACGTTTACGGCAGATGACCACACGCACTTCTGAACGGGCTCATCTGCGTCGCCCGGACACACCTCCTCCTGGATCAAACAAGACAATACACAGGTCAGGGAAATACAAGTATATGGACTTAGAATTGTTTATTTTCTCTGCCCTCTGCTGGCCTCCTGTCCTGTTCCTGTGTGTGTCTAAGGTCAGATTAAGTTTAACTTGAGTAACAGAGCTTCTACAATGCAAATTTCTCTGATCTGGACAAGATTTTAAAACTTATATCAGGTTATTCAGCTTGTTTTCACATTTATTATCTACTTATTGTTTCTGAGACTGCTTAATTCTAGTCTAGGGGTAGTTTATTTTAAGATAACTTGTCAAGTGAAATGATCTTGCTGCATGGACAGATAATTTCACTACTTTTAAGTCATTTTCTGATCGATTTAAGTGTTTATATCTTAAATTTTGGCCAAGCTTTTTTGCAGTGTAACAAAGTAGTGCTTTCAGGTATGCGTCTGTGTGTTGTGTGTGTGTAATTTTTCTATGATGTGTGCCTCTTTTGGACTGTTGTTGGTCGGTTGGTGTGTCCGTGTCTTGTATTATAAATAGTGTATTTGCCTGTTGAATACTGTTACATTTGATCTTTTTTTTATTTGTTTGTTTTACATTAACATCTGTCACAAAACTCCAGATGAAAAACAGCCTTCCTGTTTAATTCTGGCATATTTACAGAAATGTTCATTAATATGCACTGTCTCTGAATTATGTATTATGTATTATATTTTTATTGCATTGATTTTATTTCACTATGTGCAGCATGTTGGAAAAAGTCATTGTCTATAAAATATGCTATAGAAATAAAGTGGATTAGATAATGCTTTTAAGTAAGGGTGGTTTATCGATTACTTGTGATATCAGAGGATTTCACCAGATATCAGCGTCTGTCTGTCAGTCTGATATTGAAAATGTAACAGACATTTGGCACAGATATGTTTTCTGCACTTCCCTAGTCTCTGTGTGCCCATGTCGCATCCACAGTTTGTCCTCAGTGCATCAGAATTCTAGCCTGATTCATCAGCCAGTTTCACTTTGTGGAAACCGTCTGACCTCGCAGCATTAGGATTTGCTCGCTCGATGGTAGGCGGGTACTTTTTTATTTAACCAATCGCTGCTATTTGATTGTGACATGTGTAATGCTCCAAATTACATAGGAAGAAGAACAATAACGTCTTTCTCATTGATAAAATTCACCAAACATTCCCTTTGTTCTGGCTTTAAATCCTCGAGGCCGGGAATCATTGCCAACGCACAATGTATGGCTTTGTCTACATCCATCTTGACCGTTTTGTTTACTGTTGTGCTGTACCACAAAAGGGACCCAGACAGGCGCTTGAGTGTGACGTCATGGCTTCACCGATTGGCCGGTGCGCGATCTACAACTTCCAGGGTTCTTACAAACCATCTAATGTATTCTGATTCCTGATCTAGTCGCTGGAGAGAAATTAAATTCAGCGGAGGCACTAGGTGGCACCAGCATTGCCTATTTGAACGAAATTATTAGTGCAATATGAATTTATATCCCAAATTAAAAAATGACAAAAGTAAAATTCGTAAACTTACACTAAAACTTAAAAAGGGGTTATTTTACTTTAATAAGGTATTAACTGCTAACACATAACATATTTATATCACCATGTTACCTTTCATTGTTTTGGAAATGTTATATCCACCGAAAACAATATATTAACATTTTTAACAGTTTTATAAGTGTCACATAAATTTTTAATGCTCTGAGTTTCCCCTCTTTTTGCTCTCCGTGTCACTCACACAGAGCGCTATCACAACACAATCAGCGTACCTGCTGCTAATGAAACTACTGCACGTCGCATCAGGTTTGTCAAGTTGCTGTGGGCAGAGCACTGGACAGAATTTTACAGCTAACCGTTAGGAGATTGGGAATAGGGCCAGGGAAATCGCTAAAACACTGAAACATGCATGGAGGACATAAAAAACCTCTTCAGGCAGGATTTGACGAGGGAACAATACTGTAACATGACAGAAAGGAAAAAAAAAAAAAAATCAGATTTGTATAATATCCCCTCTGTAAGACAAATTTGTGAGTCTTGCTACAGATTTTAAAAGCTTAATGTTGACAACAGCAAATATTGGTTATTGAGCACAAAACAAATAATATTATAACTGTATCGGCTCTCTACTTTTAAGGATTCATATATGTCTACTAGCACAGAGAAAGAAAGCATCAAAAATGCATCTGAAAACATTTTACTTTTACATGGAACATTTCAAGCTGCATTTCACACTTGGTTTATGGTTTGGCTCTATGTTTTTATCCCAGAATCTGGTTTAGTCCTGAAGTAGATTGAGTTTGGCCTTGTTCTAGTCCTGTCCTAATCTATAAGTTCTGTTACATACTTCAAATTATCATTTCTTGGCCAAACTTTTTCAACTTTGCACCCAAAAACTCCAGCTCTTGTTTTGTTCAAGTTTGTCAGGCAGGTCAGTGTCCTCACCAGTGGTCTCTCATGAATCTGTCACACTGTCCCTGCCGTCCCTCTGTAGCTGTGCAGTGCCAGTGCTGTGCTCCAGTCTGCTCCAAACTTTCTCCACTTTAGATTTAGGGCGCCTCTGGCAAGGATGTTCAAGGTCTGGCCATGGGCACCGCTCTTCTGCCTAATTTACTGCGCGCTGCGTGGAGACTGTGGGGGACTTTCAAAAGGCCAGTGTCTCTTATGGACCAGGCCCACGTCAGGAGTAGATAAATTATATTCAACTGGGCAAGACTTAAGATACAGAGACAAATGAATGGGGTGCAGCGCCGAGGAGACTTATAAGTGCTACCATATTAGGTTAACGTACAGTGTATCATTTTGTCTCAATGCAAGAAGGTTCCAGGTTCAAATCCCAGGTACTTTCTGTGTGGAGTTTGCGTGTTTCTCCCTGTGTCTAGGTGGGCGCTTTCTGATCAATATGTAAAATCCTCCAGCTGAGCCAAGCCTAGCTCAAGATCTGCACTCAGAGCCCACTGGTCCAGACTGGTTGCCTCAGTAGCGTTGAAGGATGGGTCAAATGCAGAGGACAACATTCCTCCACTTAACCTTAACTGAATACTTGTAAAATGCTGTTGAAGACACACCTATGCACAGGCCTTTTTTATTTTGTTTGTTTTTATTGCATTGAAAAACCTACTATGAGAGGGCTTGCATCTACACAAACCTGACTCTTATTTGAACTGCAGGCGTGTCTCCTCCTCCTACCATATTTTATAAGGCACACTTAATATCCTATAATTTTCTCAAAAACTCACAGTGTGCCTTATGTATTAATTCTGGTTGTGTTTACTGACCTCGAACCGATTTTATGTGGTACACGGCACTAAAAAATCTGTCAAAATGTTTTAATGCGACTTTGGTAAATTACGAAGCCGCACCGCTTGATGGATTGTTGGAGCATTATGGCTACTGTAGTCAAGAGCCTCGCGGAGTAAAGGAGCAGCAGTCTTTTTAAGAACTAGTTTTATGCAAATTAGCCATGTGGTTTTAAGTCTTGTTTCCGTAAAACATAAACGAATGTGCGCAAAGCTGCATTATACGCATTATTAGTCAATGTATATTTGAATCGTCCTCGTACAAAATAAAAAAATAATAAAAACTGACCCACCCACATTTACATTCATAATACACATTCACCAAGACAGGGAGGCAATGCCGGGCAAATTACGTCACGATCTGCCACTGGATCGTGGATGCCTGGGCTAAGGGATCAGTCTCAAGTGTCGTCCGTTTATTTCGCTTAATGCGCCTTATAATCCAGTGCGCCTTATCATCCAAAAATACGGTACTTGTTTTCATGGAAATTATGTTTCTTCAATAATCTGGCATAAAATGTATCCATCTCCGTGGAAAATGTTGGTTTTAACTTTCTATTTCCATGGAATCATGCAGGTGACACATATGTATACAGTACCTTTAAGGGTGAGGAGTCATGGTTAGGGTATTAAAAATAGATACTAAGCATGAGTCATTCTTAATAAACTATTTCTTTGCTCAGAGTAAAGTCTTTGCTCATGCATTATTAAGGCTCATTAAAGTTCCATAGTCATAAAGTGTAACCATCATAACAAGAATTCTGTGCAAGTTCATTTTCCTGATCCAACAATAATTTTCCAAGACAATATCATTAGCTTTACCGAATTTTGGTGACCATCCAAGAGTTATTATTATCAAGCAGAAAGCTGTATCTTGGCTAACAAAACAGACAATAGAACCAACCTCCCTGTGCATGAAGTCATTTATAAAAAGACTAGAGAATGGAGAATGCTGTACTTGCTATAACTGCTTCTTTCCTTGCCCGTGTTGACTTTGGCATATTGAACTGTGAAAGCCGCCACTGTGGTCGTTTCACAGCACATGGTGGAGAAAGAAGTGTAACACCTAAAAAAAAAAAAGTGTCAAATCCAGACATGTGACCACCAGCTGAGCCCGAGAACGGAGGAGACATGGCACACCACTCTATTTCTGGTTTGCAAAATTCATGTTTTTGCTATTGATTTCTCTCTCTCTTTGTCTCACTTTCTCTCTTTGTCCCCTCACTTTCTTGCTGTTTTTCTCTCCTCTCTCCTACTGTGTCTGTCTCTCTCCCTCTCTTTCTGTTTTTTCTGTTTCTCTGTCTTTCTCCCTCCCTGTTTCTTTAAGCCTTTCTCTCTCTCCTCTTGTACTTTTTCTTGTTCCGTCTTTCTGCGTTAGAAAACTGTGGTGCCCAATGGGAGCAAAGAGTCGGCAACTGTAATGGATAGCCGCAGATCATGGTAACGAGTAGGGTTTAAAAATAAAAATAAAAATAAAAAAAATAAAAAAGACATACCAAAATGACGAAATTAGAGAATGACGTAAGTAAAGAGCAGTGGGTGTATGCCGGTGGTGCTGAAAACGCAGTTGATCGGCAAAATGGCGTCTTCAAGCGATTAAGGATTGCTCAAACATGAACAAATCACTCCAAAATACAACTTCAATAAATGAGAAGAGGAAAGAACTATAACAAGGTTAAAAGCTCTGAAACATCAATATTGCAT